TAACCTAAGTTCCCGAAATGCTCTGCATAATCAGGGGCAGAATGTCAGCTAGATCTGTGTAAGTGGTACTGTCATGTACTTGTAGAAATAAAGATGATTATTATTATTATAACTGACCTCGACAAAGGACTTATAGGTGAGTACATTAGGGACCGCATCTCTCTCGCACTCAGCAGACGGAGGATCAAGCCTCTACCACGTCTTCCGCTGAATGACCCATATAGGTTTAGCGCTTAACGTGAATAAAACAAGTATTATAACTGACCTCGACGGAGGTGACGGGGATAGTGCGTCCTCTGAAGCCTCCGGTTATGTGGGGGAAGAGGTCATCGTAGAGGGCGAGGCCAGTGAGAGGTTGCCAGTCAGCCACGTTGAGCAGCTCAAACCTGTGTGTGTCCCTGGTCTCGGCGGCCTGCACGCCCCAGTGGGTGCACCTCGAACAGTTCTGCACCTCCTCTTGCTTGTCCTGGCACATCATAATGGTAAATGTTAATTTTACAACTGCCTTGCTGTGGTTTAAATCCTGCTCGCTCTCATCGCTTTTCATTTCCTCTGACACACCTCTGGCCGGTCTCCTTCCTTGTTGATTGCCTGTTCAACTAGGCTGTTGTCGTTCGAGACGCGCTAGCCCACAAAGTCATATTATTACATACACGGGGAAGCGCTAAACCGAGGAAGGAGAAGGCAACTCTATTTGGATCAAGGACTCTTTATTAGTATCAAGGTAGTCCCACTTCCTTGCAGGTAGAGCAAAACACACCATACGGCCTATAAAAAAAAGGTTGCTCGAAGAGTAAAAACTTCATTTTAGTTACCTCTAAGTCTGATAAATGAGGCACTGAAGAAGCCACTAGTTAGCGAAACGTTTCCAGAATAAAGACACCCACATGTTGCACAAGTGTCTCATTTATCAACTTGTTGGTTTTCTAAACCATTTATCCACACCTATAAATATTTAGATATCTGGGATTATAATAGTATAGTACAGTAAAAGGCTCCCCCCACTCTGCACTCCCTATCACCACACTTCCAGTTTGAAAAACAAAATGTGGAGAGAATGGAAAGGGGATGCGTAGGGAACAATGAGGAAGTTAAACTCAAAGCTGCCTGGTGAATGTCCTTCATGATTGTTCTACACATAGTCATGTAATGGCAGCTTCATTACGCTTCGTACTGAATTGGTCAGTAACTGTTAGATACGTAAATATCAATATTACACACACACACAAAAGAAGAAATCCAAAGACTCGTGACCTTCACAATATTCTGACGTCAAAAACAACCTTTTAACTCTGTTTTGTAGACTCCAAATGTCCAATGTCACTTCATGTTGGGATCCTCTCCAAGATACGATACTACGTGCCGCAAACTGCCCTTCTCACACTATACCATTCACTTATATATCCATACCTCACCTATGCTATCTGTGCTTGGGGTTCAACTGCAGCAACACACCTAAAGCCAATAATAACCCAACAAAAAGCCGCAGTAAGAATAATCACTAAATCCCATCCCTGGCAACACACATCCCCCCCCCCACTCTTCATAGATCTAAACTTACTCCCTGTTCAGTACATCCACACTTACTACTGTGCAATCTACATCTACAGGACCTTAAATTCCAATATTAACCTTGACCTAAAACGCTTTCTTGATAGTTGTGACAGAACCCACAGGCACAACACCAGACACAAACATCTCTATGACATTCCCCGTGTCCGACTAAACCTTTACAAAAATTCAATGTATGTCAAGGCCCTAAAATCTGGAACACCCTACCTGAAAATTCTAAAACTGCAGACACATTCATCACCTTCAAAACTACCATCAGAAAACATCTTATCTCCCTGATACACCCTGTCAACTAATAATACGAATACCACCTGGTGGTTCACACTTACACTCACTCACCCATTTGACCATAAACAGAAATATCAATCTCAATCTCAAAATAATGAATCTTAACTAGTCATAAGTTGGCCTGTGATACTCCAATACTGAAACTATGTATAGTGCCAAAACAAAAGCATTCACATTGCTAAACTCACAAACTAGTATTTAGTCACTTAACCATAATGCCAACTTACCTCATAATTTTGTAATATTTTAAACTTAGATTTAATCTAAGTCTGCCCGAAATGCCTAGCCATGCTAGGTGTTCTAGTGGTACACTCTGTAATTATTATTTTACTACATGTAAACCACACAATAACCAAATTCTGTAAACTCAGCATTGTAATCCTTATAGAGAATAAACTTTGAATGTTAACCATCCAAAGCTCTGTTTCGTGTCGACATTAAGAAAATAAACTAAGAATAAAAATCAGAATGCCGTAACTGGAGCAATTCACAATTAGTCCACAATAATGTGGCTGGAACAATTCACAGCTACCTCACAATAACGTGGATGGAACAATTTCCAACTAACCCACACTACCGTGGCTGAAACAATTCACAGCTAACCCACAGTACCGTGGTTGGAACAATTCATACTAAGCCACAATAATGTAGCTGGAACAATTCACAACTGACCCAGAATACCATTGTTCAAGCAATTCACATCTAGCCCACAATACCTTGGCTGCAACAATTTACATCTAAGCTATAATCCGGAGAGGAAAACTTACACGACGTTTCGGTCTATCCTGACCCATTATCATATGGCAGGTGTTTCAATTTTTTTATGGAGAAAAACATCTTATATATCAGTTTCTCTCAACCCGGCATTAAAGATAATCCCACATTTGTTTAAACAAATGAGTTCGTAGGCTAATAACTGCTGCTACAGACACCACTCCCACGAGCCCTCCTAGGGCGAGGAAGGTGCCAGAGCCAAAGCTTGCTACCACCTGCAGCTCACAAGACTGTCATTCCCACGAGCCCCCCTGGGGAGGGGAAGATGTCAGACCAGAGGCCTAGCTTCTCCCTACGAGCCCGTGAGTGCGGGGAATGGGGCTAAGCCTGGGGACAGTTGGTCCCAGAAAATGAGGAGGTACTTGTACTTCCTCCCATGGCAGACATAGGTCTCAGACACTCCCAAGACAGGGAGCCAAGGCCGGGTCACCATCTGGAAAAGACCCGGGCCGGGAGAGTACCGGCGAATCAATTATTATTATAATCAAGGGGAAGCGCTAAACCCGGAGGATTATACAGCGCCTGGGGGGGGGGGGATGTGGAAGGCATTCAGGCTTAATTCGGGGAACTGGAGCACAGTTCCAATTCCCTAAATCAAGAGCCCCTCACCAACATCAAGGAACCTTCCTTGAGGGTCCGGCGAATCAAGAACTGCTATCCTAGCTCAACTCATCTTCAGGCTGTTATCCTACCACAGCTCATTTACAGGCTAAAAACAGTTATCCTACCTCAGCTCAGTTGCAGGATAAGGGATGTTATTGTGCCTCGGCTCATTTACAAGCTAAGCAGCAACATTACCCTACATCAGATCATCTTAAAGCCCAGCTATATCTTAGGTATAATTCCCCTTCCCTACAACAATCTACTAACAAGCAGGTAATCACTTAGTACTAGGTAAGAAGTGGCAACAAGTGCAAGGAAACATGACAAAGGATTGGATCTGGGTCCTTTTGGATATGAGCAGAGGAAACTGCCGCTGAGCGCAGATAAACTAGGTTAGGTTAGGTAAGGTTCGTCAGGAAACAGGACAAGTGTTTCCTGACGCGGGTCTTAGTCAGATGATGACCCACTGTTGGAGCTTTTGGTCATCTGACCATTATGCGAGTGTATAATACATGAGAATTTTATGTTTGAAATAAACATCAGACATTTTTACGTACGAATTATATCATTAATTATTATTATTTTTATTAATTACTATTATTATTATTGCTAATACTACTTTTACTACACTCAAGATGCTGTTAAATTCATAAGGCTCATTCAGCGCCTGTGAAATGGGCGGTAATCAGGTATGATCCAAGGAAGGGAAAGGGTACTTAATTTTTTTAAATCAAGAGCCCTGCAAAAATCAAGGCAGGTTAGTCCCTGACGGACTGACCACCTCAAAGTATTTCTCCAAGGTTGATGAACTGATTACATCATCTTACCGCGCCACTTCTGCTGCCTACAAGCCATTCTCTGTATGTGACTGAAGAAACCCACTTCAACAATAAGGCTTCCCAACTGTTGCACACTTGTCTTACTCATCAATGCAAGTGAGGCTCGTTAACCACTCATCAACATCACTTACTGTGCCACTTGCTACATCATTTTCTCAGCTAATTAACCTGCATGTAGAGAAAAGTTGGTAGCTGTGAATGGTAGTTAGAGGTAGTGAATAGTTCTTAGAACTTAAGTGATAGTCAGGGGTGATAGTTTATCGTTTGTGACAGTGAGTGCTATAATGGATGGGCGACAGAGTTGTTGATGAAGGAACAAACTCCCAGGTAGCGTCATTGACTATAAGAAATTTGAGTAGCTTCAAGGACGGGTATAGGAGTGGGTGTAGGCGGGTGTGATGTGAACAAGCCTAGCATGGGCTAGGAGGCCTACTACACTGTTCCTTCGCTATTATATTCTTATGTGATAGTGATTGTGGTAGTTTCTAGTTGTCAGTGGTAGAAAGACATATTGGGTGAGAGAAATAGCGATATTTTGTGGCTATTTATCAGCAATAAGTTATACTGGGTGAGTGGTAGTGGTAGTGTGTGGCTCTTAGTGGAGGGTGGGCAGCAGGAAATAGTTTGAGAAGTGAATATCAAAGAAGACTCACACAGGTGGGTAATATACCTAGAATTATTGAACACATCGATAGGGCTGTCACACCAAAAGTGGTCTCTACTCTACGGAATTCCACATCAATGTCAGAGTCGAGAGCAGAACCTTGAAACACAGCCAACTGGAGCCTCTTACCGCTGGGAAGAACTGGTCTAGCTAGAGAGCTTAGGGCGGTTAGCAAGTGCCTCCATGACTATCTCTATTATATATCATATGTGTCTCCAATAATTAATGGGGGGTTAATTAAAACCTACCAACTACATGAGTGATTAAGGCTACTTGCAACCTTTTCACCACCAGACAAGAATATGTTAACCCCTTCAATAAAAATGAATAAAATATTGTCTCAGCATACTTGTGCTGAGACATACACTTCTCGGTGTAAGTATCCAGACTCTCTTATTGCTATGGTTAGGTTAGGTAAGGTTCGTCAGGAAACAGGACAAGTGTTTCATGACGCGGTTCTTAAATCATATGATGACCCGCCATTGGAGCTTTTGGTCATCTGACCGAGGCCTTCCGCTGGCTTACCGGTCCACCCCTTTAAACATTATAGTCATAGTTATAACCATTTTTTATACTCCTATTGCTATCCTATGAATTTATTATAGCAATCCATCTGTGCAACAGAAAATAAAATGAGAAGTAAAGTAGGTAATGAATAACAATTTCTCAAGTCATTTTTTTTTTAATATTAGTCATTTATGTTATTTTTAATTTTCTTGCTATTATTGATTTAGATCATTAACAAAACATTACCAGAATTTCAATATGATTTATATTATATTCAGGGGAAGCGCTAAACCCGTAGAGGTTATACAGTGTCAAGTTGATTGAGTAAGGTTTGTCAGGAAACAGGACAATTTCCTGATGCGGGTCTTAGTGTGGAGGGCGTTAGTTTTGATCTGAGGAAGCGGGGGGGTAGCTCCAGTTCCATGCAGCAAGAGCATTTCTCCACCATCAAGGGATAACTTATGCATTATTGTCTTCAGAAACGATCACGATCCCATTAATTCTCTAAACAATAGTATTTCATGCACAAAAGCGCCAAAACAGTATCTCACATACAAAAAAAAATATAATAGTTTATTTTTAAACTTTGCAAGAGATGTTGGATTCTCAACCTTCTGGAGCTGAGCTCACTTTTATTTCTAGTGTTGCCTTCCATCTCCCTCTTTGTTTAAGAAGGTTGAAATATTTTTTTCGGCCAGTGGAAGGCCTCGGTCAGATGACCAAAAGCTCCAGCTGTGGGTCATCATATGACTAAGACCCGCGTCAATAAACACCTGTCCTGTTTTCTGACAAACCTTACCACACCAATTTTTTTTTATAATAGCGAAGTATTGGCCATCTTTATGATTGGGACCCGTGTCGGGAGGCACTTGTCCTATCTCCTGACGAATACTTTTTATGTATTTTTAAAAGGGTGAACCAGTGGAAGGCCTCGGTCAGATGATCAAAAGCTCCAGTGACGGGTCATCATATAACTAAGATCCGCGTCAGGAAACACTTGTCCTGTTTCCTTACGAATCTTACTTAACTTAGCCTAATATTTTTTGCCCTTCCCCAGTCAAATAATTTTTTCACCAGACAGATCTAGGAACTAAGATAATGAGTTATGGGTACAGATTAATACAGCAGGATCTCACTCATTGGAAGAATGAAGTGTCAGCGGACACTCAAGATGCGTTGAGGTGCTCCGTGGCATTGTAAGGAAGGACAAGGACAGACTAACACAGAAGGTACCAGACCACGAGGACATAAGTGAAAAGTGAAAACTGACGTAGGGTACAGGGATATTATGAAGCACTCTACTGTATAATGGTTGTGAACAAGAATAAGCAAGATGACTTTTTTGGGTTATCCTAGGTTCTCTACACATATGCTGCTATGTATGATAATCTATGTAACTGCATTTGTGTATACCTGAATACACTTACTTATATAGCTGGTGTACACATGATAGAAAACAGTAGTCTAGGCGCAACTTACACCAGCTGTTTCAAACAGGCGGGGCCAGAAGCTTTAGTTCAACCCACTATCGCAGGCACAACTATGCGAGTACACATACACATTTTGATAGTCCACTAACAGATAGCACAATGTATGTGTCTGTGTGTAAAAATCTTCAAGCAGGGTGTGAATGATGCAAGAGTAGAGATGCCTTGAAGGCTTTCTCGATCTGTCAGTCATAACTCCGCTACATAGTAGAGGGATCAGAATGGACCTTTCAACTTGGCACGCCATTTGAAGGAATGCTACTTGACGATGTTAGACGGACATGCTTTAATGAGGTGCAGCCATGCAACATACACATCACTCAACCATGATGAGATTACCGTATTTACCCAATAGTTCGATCAATGTTTATTGCACAGGAAAGTGGAGCTTTTATTTGCAGAGTTTAATAAAAGGAGATTTCAATATCTAGAGATATTATTGTATTCATGGGAAGAGCGCTTAACCTGCAGGGGAACATAGAGCAATAACAGGCGGTAGCATAATAAGGCTGAGTGGTACTTACTATTGAAGAATCGTTGTCTGGTGGCACAAGATACAGAATAACATTACAGCGTCACATTACAGTGTCTCTGGGATTTCATTATATCAATGCTACTTGCTTGAGTTATATATTAAGTTAATAGGACTGAAAGCCTATCGACTACACGAGGGTCGTTACGGCTGCATATCGCCTGTTCCCCCCAAAATACTTACTTTTAAAGTATACCTCTGTGTATACACTCGGATTATTATTATTATAATCAA